AACAGTTATTGGAAAACAAATTATGTGTAGTTTCCGATCGATGCCACCGCCAACAACAACAGTGACATCTGATGGAACATGAAAGCAGAAGCTTGACAAAATGATTAATCTGTTTTTCCCTCAGCTTTCATTCCGCTTTGCACGATTCGTTTTTTTCTTTCTGTCATCAGAAATCTTTGAAATAACCGGGGCAAAATACGCTCAAAACATGCACTTGAATCAGTTTTGTCCATTAAATTATTGTAATCCACGTTCTGAGTGTTTTGTGCATCTCATATTTTTTTTTTTAATATTGAGTTTAAATTCGGAAAACTTTTATATTTGATCACAAAATATGGCTTATTTGACCCCATGCTCTCCTATAAATATTTTCAATCGTTTTTCAAAGGCATAAAAAAGACATATGGGCTGCTTCTGATAAAAGGTACTGACTGTTTGAATCAGTGAAGTATCATAATTGAAAAAAAAAAACTACAGAAAATATGGGACTTTGGGGTAAAATAGGCTCCAAACATGCAATTATCACAGCATGCGCCAATTGAAATTATGCAAAATAAAATTCTTGGCATTTTTCTCAAAGGAAGTTATATGTTACAATGTGTGGTTTCACTGTGCACCGGTGGCCAATAGGATTAGAACCAATAGATTCTCCGTTGATTATCTCTTTCGCTGAAGTCAACCCAGAACGCAGTGCCTGTAGCATAATGGAAGCCCCGAGTCCTCCCGACCCACGAAAACGAGTTTCTCAATTCCGAATCAGTTTCCGCCGCCTTAGTCGTCCCGGCCCTCAAGGTGGAAGCGGAAACAGGCTCATCCTACCTGTGATCGCAGGTCCAGAAACCGACAACAGATACTCCTTCGATCACTTCTGCAAGTTGATCAACTTCATCCCGGGACGCAACAGCTTGAGAACTTCGGAATCAGTTCTCAGCTCCGTCTGCTTTTATCCAGCTGTGACTATGACGTACTTGTCTTTACGGAAATATGGCTCCGTGCTGATATTGACAGCAGTGAAATTTCATCGGATTACGTTTTCTTCCGCTATGATCGCTATGAGTTAGCCAGTCCTCATTTGCCGGTGGTGTACTAATTGCGGCCAAAAACTACCTGGGGTATGAATCTATGTCGATAGCTAGCTGTGACAATCTTGAGCAAATTGCAGTTTGAATAAAGTCGCAATGTCATTCGCTTTATGTAGTGGCTATCTATCTGCTCATGCAAGGGCCGTTCAACAAGTGGCAGATCGTTTATCGGAGACTGACATAATCCTATCGATCGGTGACTTTAATCTTCCTAATCTGCGATGGCATCATAACGAGGATATTAATGGTTTTATTCCTTCAAATGCCTTGACTGATACTGATAGAAACTTTACAGAAGAGCTATGTGTGCCAATGGCTCAAGGCAGATTAATAACATTGTCAACACGAACGAAAGACTCCTTGATTTGGCGTTCACCAGTCTCCCGGAGTATCTTGACCTGATTGCCGCACCTTCATCGCTGTTACATGTTGATAATTATCACCCACCAGGCACCATACTACCTTTTCTTTTCCGTCGATCTTGTTTTCCGTGCTGAGCACCAATGCTACCGACGCCAGGGAGGCAGTTCCCACACCTGAACCCTACATATCGACCCATCAACTTATGACCCGGAAACCAACGACTTTACTTCCCTTCCGAAGAAAGGCGTGATCAGAGATGTTATGCCTCAGAACATCGCTGCGGTGCCGACTGGGATTGAGCCCAGGCCTGCTGGGGTGAAAGGTAATCACGTATACCACTACACCACCGGCGCTGTCATCATACTTCTTGACGAGAGTGTTGTGCCATCCGTACTTGACGATCAGGACAAGTGTTTCAAATTTGACTATTTGGTATGCGACTTTGACTTGTTGAGTTCTATTTTTATGAATATTGAGTGGGAACGATTATCAAGTTATGCTTCAGTATACCAGCTTTCTACGAATCTCTCTGAAGTTATAAATCATTATGTACTTCGAAAGAGACAAGTACCGATTTCTGCTTTCAACAAACCGTGGTGGACTCCAGAGCTACGTACACTTCGGAACAATCTACGTAAGGTGTGCAACATGCGTTCCATACGAAAAATGTGTCCGATAAAGCTAGACTCCGTGAGCTTGAGTTGCAGTACAAAGCTGTCCTTTCTGCAACACATGAAAACTATTTATGTAGGATACAGACAACCGTTAAGGAAAGTCCTTCGCGCTTCTGGGATTTCATCAAGAAACGCAAAGCTGACTACGGCATCCCTGGCTCGGTCAACTTCGATGCAACCACTTCTCGCTCAAGCTCGGAGACAGCAAATCTCTTTGCTAATTTCTTTGAGAGCGTATTTAATAAAGCATCACCCGTTCAACACCAAGCATGCTTCGAGCAGATTCCGTCTCATAACATTAATCTACCATGCATACAGTTCTCTTCAGGCGAAGTTCAGAAAGCCTTCGAAGATCTCGATTCAACGAAAGGAACCGCAAAAGCTTTCGATACAGTACCGCACAACCTCATCATTAGCAAAATGAATCATAGGATTTCCAACCTGGATCACGGAATGGCTCAACTCATACCTGGCTGACCGAAATGCTTTCGTTGTATTGAATTCCGTACGCTCCAGGATATTTGACACTCCATCTGGCGTACCACAAGGCAGTTTTCTCGGTCTTCTTATTTTTATCATCTATGTGAATGACTTATGTGAGCTGCTCTTATTGTCCAAACTGTCTTATGCTTATGACCTAAATTTTGTTCGTGTAATTCTTTTCTCCTGTACAAGAAGATATAAATCGTTTGCTAGTCTGGTACGGCGACAACGGCATGCGAGTCAACAGCAAAAAATGCAGTGATATCCTTCACCCGCTGCAATAGCGTTACTCTTCATTCATACTGCATGGGACCGGATTCCCTAGAAAGTGTAAACTGAATCTGCGATCTAGACGTTACGATGGATTCCAGGTTAACGTTTTGTGAACACATAAGCATCATAATTTCCAAAGCACTTGGTTTCATTTGTCGTCATGCTTCTGGTTTCACCGATGTGTATTGGCTCAAGACACAATTCTGAACGCTGGTTCGTAGTATCTTAGAAAATGTTTCCCCAGTGTGGTCTCCATTTTACACTACGCATACTCTTACGATTAAACGGATTCAGAAAAGTTTCATGAGGTTTGCTTTACGTCAGCTCCCATGGAATAATCCAGGAATTCTTCACAGCTATCCAGACCGATGCAGGCTGATTGATTTGGAATCTCTCTCTCAGCAAGGCATATCAAATTGCAACGACTGTTCATCTTCGAACTAATTACCGGAAATGTGAACTGTCCCGAACTGAACTCCTGGAACGGATTCCATAGAACATTCTTCCTCGCAGATTTCGTAACTCGCCTCGTTACTGTCAATTCCATTCCACAGAACTAACTTTGGATACAGTAACTGTTTTAATTGCTGTTTGCGTTCCTTTAATGATGTTTGTAACGAATTTGATTTTACTATATCCAAATATGTGTTAGACAAGTTTTAGTTTTAAGTAATCAGTCTGTACGACGTAGTCGAAGACGGTGTGCAATAAATAAATAAATAAATTATTTGGAGTTTTGAAAATCTTCATGGCATTTCCTCTCATAATCACCTAGCGCACTCTACACTGATGTTGCATTAAGGTTCAATTAACTTTGATGCATTTTCGAAAAAATCGAATGCAGTTTTTTTTGACGCAGTATTTCAGATTGCAAAAAGCTCGCGTCATTTTGTGTAAAATAGCAAAAAGAATAGAATGACGCGAGCTTCTTGCAATCTGATGCGTCGAAAAAAACTGCATTTGAATTTTTCGAAAATGCATCAAAGTAAATTGAACCTTAAAAGAGCCTTGGCAAAAATTTCCGCTCACAACCTCTTTTTGATGTTCTCCTACTCACCACCAGAGGTTGAATCTATCGCTTAGTTTCTATTTAAAAGCCGTATTGCAATAATCGATTCTCTTTATCGATTTTCTCTTTAAATTGCTACAGCTATCCACTGTTAGAAAATATAATTCTACATCGTTTTTGCGAGGACTCTGCTACTTTTAATACCATCCCTGTTTGGTTAATCTGCTAAATGTTTGCTTACAGTCGTGTTAATTAACTCTGATGTCGACATCAAAGCAGCCGGACATTCTTCATCGGGATTTAATCCGAAGATAATACCGGTTGGAGCTTACCACCATTAGTGGTTATAACCTTCCAGGTTTCTTGTGTGTGATTAGTACAGGTACAAATTAGTTTAGATGTATGGAAAATCGTAAAATAAGACAATTGCCTATGGAAATTGGTAAGGTTTTTAATGAAAAATGCATTGATTTGCGTTGTTAATAATCCTTATTCTGATGTAAAAAAAACCACATGGTGCACTCTACATTGGTGGTGCGTTATAAAGACCTATTGTGTTGGTTTTATAAAACTAGCCCGAGTGCCACTAACCCGAAAATAATAATTTAAGGAGATTTTTCTTACTTTAAAACATTAGCTGTTTTTTCTGCTTGTACTGTAGTACTGCGAATGAAGTTTTAATTTAAGATTTAAAAATTGACTTGTGTCTTTAAAAATTGAAAATTTGTGAGTTCTAGGATTTGCAAGTCAGTCAGTCAAAATATAATAATCTTTTAAACAGGAGCAGTTGTATCGAGAACTGGATTCTAGTCTTTGAATATTTGCTGAGAAATCAGAATTTAATGTAAGACATTTCAGAAATTTTGTGAATTTTCTACCAAGTCGCAAATAGGAGAACTAGGGGCATTATGGACACCCTAAAAATTTTGCCAAATTTTACTTGATAGGAATTAAAATATCGCTATGTGTTATTTACTACACACTTTTGTCACTAATTAAAAAAACGACTTTTTTTTCTTTTTAAAAAACAATTTGAAAATTTGTTACAGTACATTGACTTCGTAAAGCTAGCGGGACAAAATGGACATCGATATGGGGCAGTAAGTAATTTTATCGTTATTTTTTGATTATTTTAATGTACCTACCGAAAATTAATCAACGATATATGTGGGAACAACAAAACAATTTAATATTCCACACGATAATTGCAGTCTAATTACCGTCATCTGCTCGCCACATCTCATTTGGTGATAGGTGTGAGAACTTTTCAGCATACAGAAAGCCTGTGCGTTTTTTCATGAATTTACGGTGATTAGGAACATATTAAAATTAGTTCACTCGTTAAATTACTCATTCAATTCATGTTGATATTTTGGAAAATATAGCGGGTGTCCAATCTACCCTGGGAGTTTATAATGCCCCTAATTCTGCTACTAGGCTCAAAATCAGACCATGCACTTTCAAACGATTCGGGCTTGTGTAATGCTTCTACTATGAATCATACGCATTAAACGTAGACGTCACAGCTTTACATAAAAAAACATGCCTTACGTACCCATAAGGATAGAAATGTTGCATCATTTTCCCTGCTCCAGCATGTGCCGGAGGTCCGGTCGGGCAGTCTTTGTTTGGCTGAGCATTAGCTTCCCCTGGTGGAAGTTGTAGATGTGGAGGTTGTCCCGGTTGTGGTGGAGGTGGGTGTTGTTGCTGCTGATGCTGGTGCTGATTTGGTTTGTTCATAAGATCAAGTGGCGGCTCTTTGCTTTTGTAATCTACTGCAGCATTCGGTCCCAATGGTGAATGACCTAATCCAGGTGGTTTTCCTGGATGGTCCGAAGAATAGTACGAAGACTGATGAGGCATAGCGGGATAGTAGGGATACATTCCATAGCCGGATAATGGACCTAGTTGACCTGCTTCGTTAGGTTTTTTTTGTACATCTGGCAAAGACGGACCCTTCGATTTATCTGTTAATGCATAAAAAAAGTCATTAAATTTTTTTCTTAACTATGTTATAATTAGAGTGCATGTAGAGAGAGTTACGATATGTCAATATTGGTTCAATCTATTATCTGTCTACGTCTTGGAAAAAAATCATTCCAATCGACTTGTCAAATGGATGAGATGTCGTTATTCTATCTCCAGGCACTCTACTTATACAGACCACCTGATTCTGTAAGTCATGTGACTATCTGTCACCGATGAGGTGACAATTGTCACCTCGTGTGACGTGACTCTCAGTGCAAATCAAATGGAGAGCCAATAATCACACGAGGTGACAATTGCCACCTCACCGGTGAGAGAGAGTCACGTGACTCGCAGAATAGAGGGGATTATTTCACCTAAATCACTAGCATCCACCACTGGTGCAGAATCGTCACTGATATCACTATAAGCTGGGCTTTGAACATCCTCTGCCCGATTTGCTGCTGCAACGTCAAATTCAGATGGACCAGGTGATTTACGATTTTTCTTTTGTTTAGAACAATTCTGTGACTTCATGTTTGAACCTAAAAGTAAAATATTACATCAATTAAATTTCCATAGTCAAAGGAAAGATGTAGCAATCATACCTTCGGGTGTTCCCGGAGTAGCCGGTTGCATTGCTAAAATTCCCCCTGTGACACCCACATTCGAAGGCCTTACGGGAGTGCTTGGTTGCACATTTGATACATTCGATCCCGGAGTTCCAGGAATGTTGGATGAGCCTTGTGCAACTGGTGTAAGCCGTGCGTTGTGGTCAACTTCTCCATGAAGTGGTCCAAATCGCAATATACCAGGTTTACATTTTGCACTGGGATCACATCGTGTAGGAGTCGTAGCAACACCGTTGTTATTGGCCTGTAGGGCTAACGATTGCTGCTGCTGAGGTGACGGTGTCTGAACTTGACCTGATTGTAATTGTGATGATATTGGCACCGAAAGAGCAGAACCGTTCAAAGCAGAGCTCAATAATGTTGAGCTGCTCGCTGGCATCACATGTGGCTGGGGTTGTCCTGCAACACCAGTCGTAATGCTACCCCCTGCAATAGAAGGCGATGTGGCAGTGGGTTGAGAATCAGCAGCAGATGTAACTGGCAATGCTGATGTGGTGGTTGTGAGTATCGAGTGTGACGTCGATATGGGTACAGGAACAGACGACACATTAACTGTCATAAGCAGACTCGGTGAAGGTGCGGAACATGGTGGATTGGTTGTCGTGCTGCTAGTAGCCGCCGTTGTTGTTTTCGTTGTCATTGTGGTTGTGGTTGCATTTTGACTAGCATTCAACGTCACAGCTACAGAAACTGTTGCTTGGAGAGCACTACTAGTTGAAGTGGTTGTTGTCGATGCAGAAGTGTTTGTTGTCATTGAGACCGCAGTTAAAGTTGGTATCGTTAGAACATTCGTGGACTGTACTGTAGGTAATGGTGACGGCGTTGTTGGTGGTGCTACCCGTTGTGGTGATTCAGGTGGATGTGAAGAGTCTTCATCCATCGACGAGACGCTACCATGCGCGTGACTTTGATGATATCGCAGACCATTGGCGTGTTTGTACTTTTTGCTACAGTCTTGTTCGGGACATTCCAACAATACTGGGGATATCGTACATGGTGACGCTGTGCTCTTGCACTTCTTGGTTGAAATTTGCACGTTCAGTCCTGTCATTGGGTTGACTACACTTTGCGTACCTAGTGTGCTATTGGCCATGCAAGTCATATTTGCATTATTTACGTTACTAGAATTTATCACACTGCCGCTCATACTGCTACTAGTACTTCCGCTACCACCATTCACAGGTGAGGGAGACTCATCTTTCGATTTCCGTTTCTCAGGCCGTGGCGGCAAAAAGGCGACCGGAGACGTTGAGGGAGTATTTAAACTTACACTTGTGTTTGTGCCACTTGACGAACTCCCCGTTGTAGATGTTGAGGTTGTTGTTGTCTTCACCGAACTTGAGTCAGCAGTTGTTGTTGGTGTAGCACGGCTACCCCGACCTTTCGTTCCACCATTCCGCAACTTGCTATGCATCTGTGAAAGGCGAACGATTGCAGGAATTAATTATGATAATTTTTTTGGTATTGGTAATGGCGAACGTTATAGTTTATTTCGCAGTAATGTGATAAATATTCGATTAAATAAGTCCTACGCGTGCCCCGTAGTGATAATTTATTGGATAAGTAGGAGAACGGTTGCTGCTGCCGCTGGTTCTCGTTCAATTGTGTTGTTTTCCTTCGCCCGGCAAGCTAATTTAGTAAGCTACGACTTTGTAAATTTCTGCTTTCGTTCGTTTTTACCAAAATGATGGGGGAAGCAATCAATGAAGCAATTGTCTTCTGTTGCTGACTCTATCACTGGTATACGAAACAACGTTGCTGCTCAGATAGACAACGCGTTGAGAATTGGCATGGAAAAAATGCAACAAAATTTGAACGATTCTTTAAGTTGCTTTGAAAAATTAATTAGTGAGAAATGGAATACGATTACTAGTTCATGTTTTGAAATTAGTACGGAAAAGAAATTAGCTGCAACGAATAGTGCATCTAAGACGGTTCATTCTGAATCGGACCGAAATCCCAGACGCAAAAAACGTAAATTTTAAAATAGTGACAACGATTCGACTGATGATGTTTTTCAAGAAAATGCGAGTTTTGCGGATGTTGTAAAAAGATCTAGTCGTGCAAGTAAAAGTAAAAATATAAGTAAGAGTAACAGTAACAGTAACATTAACAGTAACAGTAACAGTAACAGTAACAAACAGAGTAATCGTAAGACTCGTCCGGTCATTGTGATCAAACCAAAAGAGTCCAAACAAGCTTGCGAAGATACTCGTAAGTTTTTGAAAACACAGTTAGATCCAAAAACACACAAAATCAGTAATTTTAGGAATGGTAAAGATGGCTCCATTATTGTTGAGTGTGCAACAGGAGCTAATCTAAATGATGAGAAAAATGGTATTGAAAGCAATCTGGGTGAAAAATATAGTGCTGTTGTTCCCACTTCGGTGCCAAGATTGAAAATAGTGGGCATGAGCGATCAGTTTTCCTCCGATGTCTTCATTGACTACTTAAAAAATCAAAATGAAGACATCGCTATTAATGATGTAAAAGTAGTCAACATGTTTGAAAATCCACGCTTCACTTATAACAAGTTTAGTGTTGTAATTGAAGTCGATGTCGATACGTATAAATTTTTGTTATGTGCGAAAAAAGTAAATATAGGGTTTGATCGGTGCTCGATAGTTCCCGCGATTAATGTGTTAAGATGCTTCAAATGTGGAGAATTTGGGTACAAGAGCATGGATTGCAAAAACTGTGATAGATGCTCTAGGTGCAGCCAACAACACAAAACGTCGGAGTGTGCGTCAACTGTATTGAAATGTATTAAAATTGTTTGAAAATAAATAAAGAACGTAAAATGAACTTGGACGTCAACCATGCCGCATTTAGCTCGGAATGTTTGCTCTATAAAAAAAACTTTTTGGTCAGAAGAAAAGCAGCTTGCGTTTCAATAAATAACAGCCAACTTCCAGGAATGTGAATCAATTCGATTTTTTGTATTTAAATATTGCGGGGTTGTCAACAAACTACGTAGTATTAAGTCAGATTTTTGAGGAAAAACGCCCTCTTTTAGTTTTATTATCTGAAACTCATATGGTAGAAACTGAAGCTTTTGATCAGTATAGTATTCCGGGATATATTGTTGCTGCTTGTTGATCACATCCCGAGCAAAGTCTGAGATCAAATTGAAATCTAAATTTGATGTTGTGATTTCGCTGATAATGATTACTCAGGTTGTTGTCGTTTTGGTCGTTTTAACGGTTAAAATATCAAAATTGAGAGCAAACATATCTTCCTGTGACATCACATTGAAAACTGTTTCTGCTATCAGTGAGAGCAAACTGAAAACCAAATTTGCTATCCATTTTTGCTGTTGATAACAAAACAAGTATTCAATTTGATGTTATGCTAAGGCAATGAAAACAAACCCGTAACAACATATTTTTAAAGAGCAAATGTACAGCAAAATGAAAACAAAATTTGGTATCAAATTTGTCAATGTGTAAACTGAAATCAAATTATGATTTCAGTTTGATGTTGATATCAAAACTTGATTTCAATTTGTTGTCATTTTGATGCTGGACTTTGCTCGGGATTCTAGACACACTGGCGGTGTTGCTATTTTTGTCAAAGAATCAGTTCAATTCAACCTTTGTAACAACGAAGTTATTGATGGCAACTGGTTCTTGGGCATTACAGTTGTACGTGGCATGAAGATGGGTAATTATGGTGTTTTGTATCATTCTCCCAGTTCTAGTGACCAGCGTTTTGTTGAAGTTTTAGAGAACTGGCTCGAGACATTCCTTGATTCTAGGAAATTAAATATATTGGCTGGTGATTTTAATATTAATTGGCGTGATAACCATAATTCGAATCATTTGCAGCGTTTAGCTGAGTCTTTTAATTTCAAGCAAACGGTAAATGAATATAAGCGTATTTCCAGGCACAGTAGAACTTTAATTGACCACGTTTATTCCAATTTTGATTCCATTTGTTCAGTTGCGGATACTGATTTGAAAATAACCGATCATGAGACCTTAGTGATTAATGTCTTAGACCATGTTAACGATAACGATAATTTTGTAAAATTGAAGTGCTGGAGGAAATATTCGAAGCAAGCTGTTTCGAATCTTGTTGAGAGAAGCGTGGCTTTTCCAGTCGCGTCCGGTAACTTAGATGAATCTACAGCTGTTCTTAATAACGCTTTGAAAACCTGTGCTAATCAACTAGTTGAGCAAAAGTTTGTTTCTTTGAAGAACTCGAACAGCTGGTACAATTCGGATCTTTTGCGTCTTAAACGGAAAAGGGACAAATGGTACAAAAAGTTTTGTAGATCAAATAATGACAATCATTGGAACAGGTACACAATCGCGCGTAATAAGTATTCACAATCGATAAAGAAAACTCGTTGTGAATATGTTCAAATGAAGATTGATCAGCATCAAAACAACAGAAAAGAGTTATGGACAATTTTGAAATCTTTATTAGAACCTAGTAATTGCAAACCGCGGTCCATAACTTTTAATGGCACATTAGAACAGTCAGAATAAGTATTTGCTGCTAAGTTTAATGATTATTTTGTAGACAGTGTTTCATTGATTAATCAATCCATTGAATTGGTCGATGAACCTGACGAAATAAAACAGCCAGTTAATAGTAGTTGTAGATTTGAAGTTTTTCACCCAATCGCATTAGATGAACTTAGAGTTATTTGTTTTTCATTATGAAAATCGGCTGGAGTAGATAATGTTAATGCTACACTGAGGAAATAAGTCGTTCGAATTTCATACGAAATGCTTATGGACTTTAACCAAAAGAATTTGTTTTGAATGTCATACGATAGCATTATGAACGCACGCCTTCGTTATCGTTTATGATTTTCGCTATATATTGATATGAGTTTCATAAAGCTGTCGTATTAAAATAGTTCGTTATGATTATGAAAACCATATTTCATTCATATGGATTTTGAATGACTGGAATACGGAATATAATCGTATCAACTATGAAATCGTGAATATTTATGCTCCTTCAGATTTTGTTTTAATTTTCATGTGAAATTAATTTAATTTAGTAAAACAAACAATAAAATAATCTATAGAGTTATTCAAGATTGCTTTCATGTCATTGGCCACATCTTGCTGGACCTTATTAATGAATCATTACAAACTGGACATGTACCACAAATTTGGAAGAAATCCTTAGTGGTCCCTATCCAAAAAGTTGCTGAAACGATTAAAGCCGAATGTTGCACACATTAGAGAAAATTTTAGAACTTGTTGTTAAATGCCAGCTGTTGGACTATTTAAATAGTAATAGTTTGTTGATACCAAAACAATCGGGATATCGGGAAGGTCATTCTTGTGAAACCGCGTTGAATTTGGTATTAGCGAATTGGAAAAATAACTTGGAGTGTGAAGATACGATTTGTTGCTGTTTTTTGGATCTTAAACGCGCTTTTGAAACAATTTCTAGGCCCTTATTGTTAAGTTCAATCAAGCGCTTTGGAATTACATGTACCGTAAAACGGGGTAACTTTGATAGTTTTTTTGAAGTATATTCCAAATATTTTTTACAGCAATGAATGTTTTTCAAATTTTAATTTTTTAAAACAAGTACTGGGGATCCTAGAGTCAATTCGTTGGTAACATGTTTACCAGGAATTGTTGCATTTGCACTATTTTTATTGTCTTGTGACCGAACATCAGATTTGTGTTTTGGGGTTACTTTGATAATACTCGATGAATGTAGAAAACCATGCGAGAATCGCAAACAATTTTGATCAAGAAATAAGAAACTTTGAATGAGTATATCATAATAAGCAATAAAAATACAATATTTAATTTGTCGTGACTATATAGGAAATACATTTAATAAGCGATTGTTTGAGTGAAAACACGGGCGAAATACAAGAAAAATTTGTAAACTGTATGCGATATCAAAGATAATATCAACAATCAATACGAAACTATCGATTTGAAATTGGCTCACTACTAGACTAGCCTATTGGTCCCAAGCAAATCGATTAACGTACCCCATTCTAGTCAAAATTTTAGTACTACACAATGTTTGTTTTGATTCGCTATGAAAGTTTGACAGATAAAATGAGGGGTTATTGGATTTTCCTATCTTTCGAGGGGTGAATCGATTAGCTTGGGACCGAAGATAGTACCAGAGCTGAGCCAAAAAAGTTGAGCACGTTTCTTCGGGACCTACTAGTCTTAGAGTTACCTCTATGGTAATACCCTAAGCTACAAAATGGAACCAATATTTACTTCCAATTCGGAAATAGTGCACACAGCTAAAAAAAAGTAGTGTAAATTACACACATAAATGGAGCGTCATATATCATACAAGTTTAGATTATAGGTCGTGTAAATTTATGAGACATGTCATGCAATATCCCATATATTGTATGCAACTGTCCACTTTTGCTTGGAACATTTCTTGCAAGCTTCTAGTTTACGTGAA